GCATATATATATATATATATATATATATTTATTCTTTAACATTAATTATACACAAATTTCTACACGAAGAGGGACGGAGGTTCGTTCCTTGTCACATAGACCCTTCATTAAATTCTCTCGAAAAATTCCAGCACGTGCACGAAAATTATACATTTTTATAAAAAAAACAGAGAAGTGTGTCCACTAAATATAATCAATAACAAATTATTCTTTGTGCGTATATGTCTGTGTAAGTCAGATACAACTAAAAATATATATCTCTCGAAGGACAATATAAATAAAGACAAAACAATTCTTTCAATTATCTCTTTTCTAAAAATCCTTAACCCTTTCCCAAGCAAACATACATGACTATAATTTTTTTTTTTAAATTAAAAGAAAACGGTTAAATTCTAAACCATCTCTTATTTACCTTATATAATACATTATTTAACTTAAACTCAAATAATATAAATAATAATTCCATTAAAAAATTCGACATGTACTAACTTTCGTTTATTAGACGTTAAATTATATCAATCAGCGTCCTCCATAATTTGCCTTTACTTCCATTTAGTCTTATGCATATATCTGAGGGTTCTTAAATTGAAAAATTCAGAAACGAAATTTTGACTTCTATTTACTTCTCGTAAAATTCTTTTATTTTCCTGAATAAAATCCACCAGGGGACGAAACGCGTCGGCTAAGATAAGTTTTTCTTCTGTCTTTTTTCATACATACATACATATATATATATATATATATATATATATATATATATATATATATATATGTGTGTGTGTGTGTGTGTGTGTGTGTGTAGACGTGTGTGTATTTGTATGTGTGATTAAAATTCAGATATAAATAAAATATATCTGTAAAAAGACAGTAACAATAAAGACAAAAAGGAAAATATTTACTTACCAAATTTTGTTTCTAATTACTTATTGCAGAATAAAAATCTTCACTTTTTCCTTGATAAAGTCCGTCATAGGACGAAATTCGACAGCTAAGATAAGTTTTCCTTTTGGCTTTTCACACACACACACACACACACACACATATATATATATATATATATATATATATATATATATATATATATATATATATATATACACTGTTACATTAGAACATGTAAGTTACTACTACAAAATTGTAGCATCCTGAAGAGACGTTGTTTAATAAAAGTCGAAACAAAATACACAATTTTGTAGTAGTAGTTTACATGTTCTAATGTCACAGTGTATAATAAATATTTATTGCTCTATTCTTGTTTTGAGCCCTGTTTTAAATTAATGTTTTGAACATTGGAATTTTATTCTTCGTTCTTTTATATATATATATATATATATATATATATATATATATATATATATATATATATATATATATCCTAACAATGATAATGACTTTTTTTATATTCTCTTAAATTTTATACTATGGCTTATGGTCATATCACGTTGGAACACCAGTTTCCTGTAAGATCACCGAAGTGAAGGAACGTCGAACCTGGTTGGTCAATTAATATTTTGTACTATACTTTCCATGTTGTATAGTGTTTATAAAGCGAGAATATAAAATGTATAAACACGAGATTGGTATTAAAGGATTGCTTATAAATAACTGACAAAAATAACAACGTCTTTTATGCAAGGATGAAAACTAATGTTAGGTGAATTTAAGCTTCATAACGGCCTTTTCCAAGAAAGGAAATATTGATAGGAAACTAAGTCTTTTTCGTTTGAGTCAGTGACTTTCGGAGATTGTTTAATATCTTTTAGACATGTCTAATTGAATAAATTACAGATATTATGTCTGCTAATTTTTAATAAAATCCATTAATACTCACGTATAACCTTCCGTGTATTGATCTTAAAGGATGAGAGAAATGTGCAATAGCTGTTTAAATATCAATTATTTTCATTTCCCAAGTACTTTCGATCTTCTTCCAAGATCATCTTCAGGGGTGCAAGTAGTACAAACCTATATGTTGTTCATTTGTATAAGTATTTATATAAAGATGTGAGTTGTTATCCATTACCGTAATTTTTTCATTATGCTTTTAAATGCAAAATGGCTGACAATCTGCTGAGCGTTCATTAAAACATGAAAAATTATCCATTATGGAATTTTTTCTTCTATGTTTTACATTTGAAAACATAATGAAAATTTTATCTAATGTTAATGGATAGCAACGCACATCTTTATATAGAGACTAATGAGCGACATATAGTTTTGTACCTGATGATGATCTTGGAAATAGATCGAAAGTACTTGGAAAATAAAAGAAGTTTTAACAGCTATAGCACATTTCTCTCATCCTTTAAGGTTATTCGTGAGTATTAACGGATTTTATTAAAAATTAGCAGACATAATGTTTGTAATTTATTCAATCAGACATGGCTAAAAAAGAGAATTTGATACCGAAATACAGAAATGTTTAATATCTGGCGATGAATTAAAGGAAAATATTGATACACGGATATATATATATATATATATATATATATATATATAT